TGCATTCTCTAATGAAGGGATTTACCGCTAGTTAGTTAGCTCCAGCTGGAGAACACTCGATTCTCGCCGGCTCCTCTTCTGTCGGGGTGTTTCCTCTATAAGTGCTCCAACATGCATGTGGTGCTCCCGTGAAAAGCAAGTTCCGCCTTGCATGTATTGCACATAGGGTGACAGAAGTCTCAAAATTCGTGACAGTCCCAAAATCTAAGCTGTTGTCCCGAATCCCAAAACCGGCCCTAATTGTCCCGAAAATTATACGTAAAGCAAAATCTTGATAGAAAACATTAAAAACTGTCCGTGGAAGATGAGGCGTCCTGCAGCCGCGAGGACAGTGAATGTGCAGCCAGTCTAAACTAACCTTTTTTTTTGGAGCAACTTTAGTGTTCAGTATGTGTAAAATATGACCCTTTTTAACCTTCACATGACCCCTTTAAGATCTTCAGACAGTCTCCTAGCTGTTTTTCCATAATCTTAACGTTTGCAGGTGCGCTGTGGCACGGATTAGGCTTTATAGACAATGAAAGACTTATTCCTTATTATTTGGTTTATTAATATAAATGCGTGATTAGTCGACTAATTGCTTAAGTGAACAACTAATCTACCTATAGTTTCTGTAAGGGTTAGTCTCAGTGATGGGCTAGTCTCAGTGATGGGCTAGTCTCAGTGATGGGCTAGTCTCAGTGATGGGCTAGTCTCAGTGATGGGCTAGTCTCAGTGATGGGCTAGTCTCAGTGATGGGCTAGTCTCAGTGATGGGCTAGTCTCAGTGATGGGCTAGTCTCAGTGATGGGTTAGTCTCAGTGATGGGCTAGTCTCAGTGATGGGTTAGTCTCAGTGATGGGCTAGTCTCAGTGATGGGCTAGTCTCAGTGATGGGTTAGTCTCAGTGATGGGCTAGTCTCAGTGATGGGCTAGTCTCAGTGATGGGCTAGTCTCAGTGATGGGCTAGTCTCAGTGATGGGCTAGTCTCAGTGATGGGTTAGTCTCAGTGATGGGCTAGTCTCAGTGATGGGCTAGTCTCAGTGATGGGTTAGTCTCAGTGATGGGCTAGTCTCAGTGATGGGTTAGTCTCAGTGATGGGCTAGTCTCAGTGATGGGTTAGTCTCAGTGATGGGCTAGTCTCAGTGATGGGTTAGTCTCAGTGATGGGCTAGTCTCAGTGATGGGCTAGTCTCAGTGATGGGTTAGTCTCAGTGATGGGCTAGTCTCAGTGATGGGTTAGTCTCAGTGATGGGTTAGTCTCAGTGATGGGCTAGTCTCAGTGATGGGCTAGTCTCAGTGATGGGTTAGTCTCAGTGATGGGCTAGTCTCAGTGATGGGCTAGTCTCAGTGATGGGCTAGTCTCAGTGATGGGCTAGTCTCAGTGATGGGTTAGTCTCAGTGATGGGCTAGTCTCAGTGATGGGTTAGTCTCAGTGATGGGCTAGTCTCAGTGATGGGCTAGTCTCAGTGATGGGCTAGTCTCAGTGATGGGTTAGTCTCAGTGATGGGTTAGTCTCAGTGATGGGCTAGTCTCAGTGATGGGCTAGTCTCAGTGATGGGCTAGTCTCAGTGATGGGTTAGTCTCAGTGATGGGTTAGTCAGTGATGGGTTAGTCTCAGTGATGGGTTAGTCTCAGTGATGGGCTAGTCTCAGTGATGGGCTAGTCTCAGTGATGGGCTAGTCTCAGTGATGGGCTAGTCTCAGTGATGGGTTAGTCTCAGTGATGGGTTAGTCAGTGATGGGTTAGTCTCAGTGATGGGTTAGTCTCAGTGATGGGCTAGTCTCAGTGATGGGCTAGTCTCAGTGATGGGTTAGTCTCAGTGATGGGTTAGTCAGTGATGGGTTAGTCTCAGTGATGGGTTAGTCTCAGTGATGGGTTAGTCTCAGTGATGGGCTAGTCTCAGTGATGGGCTAGTCTCAGTGATGGGCTAGTCTCAGTGATGGGCTAGTCTCAGTGATGGGTTAGTCTCAGTGATGGGTTAGTCAGTGATGGGTTAGTCTCAGTGATGGGCTAGTCTCAGTGATGGGCTAGTCTCAGTGATGGGCTAGTCTCAGTGATGGGCTAGTCTCAGTGATGGGCTAGTCTCAGTGATGGGTTAGTCTCAGTGATGGGCTAGTCAGTGATGGGTTAGTCTCAGTGATGGGTTAGTCAGTGATGGGTTAGTCTCAGTGATGGGCTAGTCTCAGTGATGGGCTAGTCTCAGTGATGGGCTAGTCTCAGTGATGGGCTAGTCTCAGTGATGGGCTAGTCTCAGTGATGGGCTAGTCTCAGTGATGGGTTAGTCTCAGTGATGGGCTAGTCTCAGTGATGGGCTAGTCAGTGATGGGTTAGTCTCAGTGATGGGTTAGTCTCAGTGATGGGTTAGTCTCAGTGATGGGCTAGTTTCAGTGATGGGCTAGTCTCAGTGATGGGTTAGTCTCAGTGATGGGTTAGTCTCAGTGATGGGCTAGTCTCGGTGATGGGCTAGTCTCGGTGATGGGCTAGTCTCAGTGATGGGCTAGTCTCAGTGATGGGTTTGTCAGTGATGGGCTAGTCTCAGTGATGGGCTAGTCTCAGTGATGGGTTAGTCAGTGATGGGTTAGTCAGTGATGGGCTAGTCTCAGTGATGGGCTAGTCTCGGTGATGGGCTAGTCTCGGTGATGGGCTAGTCTCAGTGATGGGCTAGTCTCAGTGATGGGTTAGTCTCAGTGATGTGCTAGTCTCAGTGATGGGTTAGTCAGTGATGGGTTAGTCTCAGTGATGTGTTAGTCTCAGTGATGGGCTAGTCAGTGATGGGTTAGTCTCTGTGATGGGTTAGTCTCAGTTAGGGCTGGGTAATAAATATAGATTTCTCGATATTAATCGATTTTCATTTTTACGAACTGATATCGATTCTTAAATCTCAAGAATCGATTAGTCATCCTGTTTCATTTGAATGAATGGAACATTGTATCGCAGCAGTGCTCATCCAAAAACATAGCAATAATCTTTGTCCTTTGTTACTATTGACATGAAACAAAGACTCAATTTTCAAATTACGTATTTCAAAAACATAAATAATGTTTTGGCGCTGTGGCGTGAGATCGCTCTGGAGAAGCAGCAGCGCTGATCTCTCTTCCGGCATAATAATACCAGTCACAGCGCCAAATAAACATGAATGAGCATCTGAAAGTGTGTTAAAGATAGAGTGCAGCTTATCCAAATCCGGATCATGTCACATTGATTCGCTCAATCAGCGTTTCAACCGTGGAAATACGTCAGTTAAACAGCTTGTAATCAATGTATCGTCATATTTACCTCAGAAAACCCACATAAACTCGTTAGTCAGCTAGAAAAAATAACTCTCAGTGAGTCTCAGTGATGGGCCAGTCTCAGTGATGGGTTAGTCAGTGATGGGCTAGTCTCAGTGATGGGTTAGTCAGTGATGGGTTAGTCAGTGATGGGCTAGTCTCAGTGATGGGCTAGTCTCAGTGATGGGCTAGTCTCAGTGATGGGCTAGTCTCAGTGATGGGCTAGTCTCAGTGATGGGTTAGTCTCAGTGATGTGCTAGTCTCAGTGATGGGTTAGTCTCAGTGATGGGTTAGTCAGTGATGGGCTAGTCTCAGTGATGGGTTAGTCAGTGATGGGCTAGTCTCAGTGATGGGCTAGTCTCAGTGATGGGCTAGTCTCAGTGATGGGTTAGTCAGTGATGGGCTAGTCTCAGTGATGGGTTAGTCAGTGATGGGTTAGGGTTAGATGTGACATGCCTGTCTACTATGTGGGCGTCGGCTCTGACTGGTGGACCAGGAAATGGACCAATGAGAAGACAACACAGCAGAACTGTGTCATTTCGGCCATTGTTCCTCCGCAACACTGGCAGGAAAGGAAGTATTACAACACACACACACACACACACACAGCTTCCTATGTTTGATGAGCCACATGGAGGAGGAGAAAGACAGTCATGGTGTCTGAACATGCATGTCACTCACAAGTGTAATAGTGGTTTATCGACAGGAAGGACTCCACTATATCTGAGTGGATGTTGTGCGGACGATCAGTGTTAGCGGTGTTGTCACACATCGATTAACCGGTGGGAAAATATCCTCACCGTCACATCACTAGCGGATGTGTGTGCGTCACATAAACATGACAAACACACTTCTTTTCACATTGTCGCTGTAATGAAGTGCTGATGGTCCAAACCTCAGCTGATCTGAGCATCTCCACGGTTGGCACTCGCTCCTCCTGCGTCTGAAGCGCTGAACTCGTTTCCTCTGCGGTAAACGTCTGTGGCTAAACACAATCTTTCTTCTGTTAAAGTTGTTCTGTGTCTTTTGCAGAGATTACGCCGATTATCAACCAAATACAGAACGGAGAAGATCTACCCCACTAATGTAGGAGAGCTGGAGGAGAACGTGAAGAAGAACCGATACAAGGACATTCTGCCGTGTGAGTAACCCTTCATGATCCAGCGCTAACGTGTTCATCTGAGATGATGACACCAGTGGTGTTTGTGATGAGGATGATGAGTAGTGTGAGGAAGGCTTGTGTTGTTGTTTCTGGTGTGTGTGTGTGTATGCTGACACTGTCTTTCTCTCACACTTCAGTCGACCACAGTCGTGTAAAGATGACGTTAAAAACATCCAACCAGGACACAGATTACATCAATGCAAACTTCATTAAGGTACTGAAAACTTCCCGCCTCTGCAGACGCTTCTCAGTGAGTGTGTGTGTGTGTGTGTGTGTGAATCACGCAATCGTAGTTGCTCTCCTTTCGACAGCTGTCTGCTTTCTTGACCCCTGAACTGAAGAGTTCCTTATCTTTGTGCGGATGTGACGTACATAAATATCAACTAGAGTCTCGTTTAAACAGTCAGATGAAGCCGTGGAGACTGTAGATCGCGTGTGGTTGATCCGGTGTGTGTGTGTGTGTGTGTGTGTGTGCGCAGGGAATAGACAGGCCGGAGGCCTACATCGCCACTCAGGGGCCGCTGCCCAACACTGTGCTGGACTTCTGGAGGATGATCTGGGAATACAGGGTTGCAGTGAGTGATTCTGCT